TTAAATAGTACACTTACAAGTATACTACTAGTACACTGATATTTGTATACTTACTACATAAAGTATACTTAAAAATATGCTTGAACTTTACTTAAGTATACTTGAAGTATACTACATTTTGGTAAGGGTAAGAATGGGGCATACAGGTTTGAATAAAACATTACATTTAATATCTAAACATCCAACGGGATTGTGTGAGAAATGTGGACAGAGTGAAACTGTAGAACATGTGATTATTAATTGTAAGGGTTATGATGAAGAAAGAGAAGTGCTAAGAGAAGAAGTATGGATGAATGAAGGAAAAGAGTTAACATTAAAGAATATATTAGACTCAGATATAGGAAATAGTACGATAAATGTGTTGTTTCAGTTTCTGAATAATACAGGTTTAATGGAGAGAATGTAGGATAAGTATAAATAGAGAGGTAGCTTGAAAAGAAAGACCCAGTAACTTGTCTGAATTTTGTGGCATTCCAATAAAAGATTATATTACTTAATTAGGAATTACGATATGCAAAGATAAGAATGAATCTTAATTATACCCCAATAATGAACAAAATTCAAAAGAAATGTAACATTTGGCTGAAGAGAGAGAGACGGGAGAGTTTTATTATCAAAATCTGAAGGTTTATCCAGACTAGTTTACACCGCAATGGCTATAGATATTCCTAAAAGTATCATTAATGAGATAAATAAATGTATATATAATTTTATTTGGAAAAATACACATCATTATTTGAATAAAAAAATACTTTGTAATCCACTTAACCAAGGTGGGCTAAATGTACTTGATTTTGAAATATCTAACACTATTTTTGTCTCTTTTTTTAGTTAATTGGTTTAGAACAAATGTTTTGTTGGTTTCTCAACTTCTGAATAGTAGTAATGGTCACGCGCTTACATATTCAGAGTTTTTAGAAACATGTTCATTTTATATACCTGTTAAGGAGTATATGATGGTAATTAATGCCATTCCTTCAGAATGTAGGAAATTATTAGAAAATGATATAGTCGAAAAACCAAATTTAGACTTCAGTGTTAAACTGGAAGGTATAAATATAAAAGAACAAAAATGTAATAATAATTATCTTAGAACGATTTGCCAAATTTCCAGTGTTCCTTTAGCCATTGGATTTTGGAGATCACAATTTCAAGATGTCAACTGGAAAGAAACCTTTAAGATCTCCAGACGTTTTTGTATCACAAATAAAATTAGAGAAGTATCATACAAGATCGTTCATCGTATTTATCCTGTAAAACAGGTAATTGCAAAGTTTTGTAAAGACATTGACTTGAAGTGTGTTTTCTGTATAATAATATTCTTAGAACAATTTGCCAAATTTCCAGTGTTCCTTTAGCCATTGGTTTCTGGAGATCACAATTTCAAGATGTCAACTGGAAAGAGAGCTTTAAGATCTCCAGATCTTTTTTCTATCACAAATAAAATATTATTTGTATAGTATCATACAAGATCGTTCATCATATTTATCCTGTAAAACAGCTAATTGCAAAGCTTTGTAAAGACATTGACTTGAAGTGTGTTTTCTGTAAAGTGGAAAATGAGAGTATTGTTCATTTATTTTATGATTGTATTTATACAAAATTATTTTGGTGTGATTTGTTATTTTTTTTTGTTAAACAAAGTATTAATATTGAATTGCAACTCAAAAAAAAGGATTTTTATGAGTATACTGTTGACTTCAAGATTTGGTATATTGTGAAATTACTCATTATATATGGAAAATTCTTTATTCACAAATGTAAATGGGAAGTAAAAAAAAACAAATTTTACTCAGAATGGCGTGAGATGCAACTGCTGTTTGTCATCCAGTCCGCCAGCGGCGCTATTCGTTTCCGGTGATGCGGCGCGTGGCGTCTTTCAGTGCGTCTGCGTCACGCCCCTCTCACGGACAAAATGGAGGAAACACTCGGCGTTTGTTTGTTTGAGTGCAGTAGACATTAATAATCATTAATAAGTTTGCTAACATAAGTTAGAGCGTGCATGTAAGCGCAGACATTACGCTGTGCGGAGTGCGCATGCGTTGAAGGGTGAGTTTTATTATAACATTGTGTGAGCGAAGGGTATTGTAACGTTACTTACATTTGTTTATTCATACGCTCTGTCTTTTGTATGTTTGTCTCTTGTAAAAAAAACATTTTAAAGTCTAATTGTCGTTTTAATGGTCTAAATGAAAGCTGATCAGTTCATTGACAGCCATTCATGATGCTGTGGTCTTGTTTAGCTTGAGATAAATGTGAAATGCATCTTTCACACACGTAAGACGCAGTGTTAATATTACAGCATGAGAAGAGCGTTGTAAAGTATTTTATATGTCTTCGTTTTAATTTATTAAGCTATTGTATCGTTTATAATACACAATGCTATGAAGTACACAATTACGATCATTCATTTATCAACCGATGGTTGTAATAAACAAATGCTGCAAAATATATGATCATAGCAGACAGACTTTCACTAACTAGTATTGAATCTAGAAAGATCAGTAAATGTACTTTGGCAACCCTCTACGCACACCTTGGCAATATAATCGCCATTGGCAGTCATTTTTTTTAGTTTACTCGCCAGACTGATATACTATACTATTTTACACACACACACACACACACACGCACGCATACAGTGGCGGTTCTAGCTCGTATGGTGCCCTGGGCGAACCACCCCTCTGCCACCTCTAAATTAAATTAATTTTACATTTTATTTTATAGAAATGTATATAGTTAGATTATTACAAATTCAGACAAATAAATAAAAAATACAAAAAATCCCTCCAAAACTGCACAACTTTACAGTAAAAATAAAGTGAGTAATGTTACATTTGTTTAAAAAAATGACATTATGTAACAATATCACATTTTCTGTCTGATTATGTAAGCTTTCGTTGGACGAAAAAGGATTGTTGTTACCCTATATGTGTAATAATTGCAGCATAGCATAATATTCGTCATATATTAGTCTATTTTAGATGAATGATAGCTGCATACGTAGCATTTATCTTTTGCGGTGGGCGATATAGCCTCAATTATATCACGATATTTCAAGAATATTTGCGATGATGATATGCAAAAAATATGGAACAACGTTTTATTGGTGATTGCGGTTGGCAGGCAGCAGCATTTATTAGTGCAAACAAAATAAAGGGCATTTATCCTTTTCCAATGTGCTACTGTCATCGATGACAGACTACTAATTCAAAGTGTAAATCTATTGTCATAAGATGGCAGCAGCAGCTGTGTGTTCGACTTGAAACAGACTGATCAGTGTATGACCAAAATACCTTATTACCCCAGGGCTCCAGCTAGGCTTTTTGAACCGTGCCCGAGCGCGTTTGACCCCCAAAGCCCGGTTTGATTCGTGTGAGCGCTCCGTGCCATGCTCGGGCGCGGTTCATTTAGCCGGCCCTGGCCAGGTTGGAAGAGGTGGGCCAGGGCACGGTTCGGTTGGGCTCGGGCGCGGTACGCATGCAGTGTGAGGGCTAACGGCGCCGGAGCATGGAACAGATACTATTTTGTGTGCGCTACTGTCATCATAAGAACTACTACTGTCATCGCAAACATATTCTATTACTACTAGGGATGTAACGATGAACCGCGAGCCGGTTGAAAATCGATTTAAATATGTGACGATTCAAATCGGTTGAGATGCTAAACAAATCACGATTCAATTAGGGGTAGGAGTTTATATGAATGTATGTCTGAGGGGAACTTACTGTCTTTAGAAAAGTTTAGATGGTATTTCTTCTTTTCATCTTGCCTCTGTATAACGCATATTAAAGTTCATAAGTGCAGCGCTGCTTTGTTTACAGCAGAAACCAAGGAAACGCTATAAGCGCCACCTGCTGGCAGAGAGTGAATCTGCTGTTTCTGTTTCATGCTGATATTTTCGGGATTATACAATCTAATTTAGATTAAAAACTGCTCATGTTGCAGCATACATGTATGCAGCATCTTTGTTTGGATCATGAATAAAATGCAGTGGTTGCCTCGCTATATTAGTATATTATTATAGTGTTATATTTCAAGTGTTATAGTGTGAGTGCAGGCCAGCGGGGGAGTGGGGATGGGGGATAATCGTGCTCGGGCTCGGTTCAAGGCAACCGTGCCTAGTGTGCTGCATTAATAAGAGCAGTTACTAATAATATTACATGTTCATTTCTTGTTTATTGTTTATATAGATTTGACAGTAAAGCACTAAGCTTGAGTTAAGATACATACAAAATTTACTTTTATTAACAACAGTAACAGGTGCAAAATCAAATTTTTATATAGCAAAATTATATATTCCACTCTTATTAAATGTACCATTATTCTTCTAGTATATGGAACTGACCAACTTCAGTGATTGTGTGATTTAGTAGCGACTTGAAGAAAAGTTTGTTTTTCAAGGCCCTTTGTGACTTTTCTTCATACACAGAAAAGTGTAACATTCTGACAAAATCTGATTTCTTGATGATTTTATAATAGTGATTTTATCATTTCAAAATATAGAGAAAAAGTAGAAATGAATGACTAATAAGCCAATAAGTGTTCCTCTGCTGCTGTCTACTGGTTATAATTGTGATTTTATGTATTTTTTAAAATTGTACATAAGTGTTTGTTTACCACAAAGTATATTTTGGTCATCCCATTAAAAATAACATTCAAACTGGATCATTTTAGAGCTTTAAAGTGTTGGAAATAGTTGTGTGAAATGCTTGAAAGCCATTGTAAAGTGCTTGAATTTCTCTCTCAAAAGGTTGTACAAACTCTGAAATGAATGATGTAATGCATTCGACTATTTCTAACACAACACCACGGTTACAGTTAGCGTTACCGCTTCTGGTTTCCTGACGTATGTCAGTGCTGTTTATTACAGAGAATTCTGTGCAGAATTTGAATTATTCTCACTAGATCTCGCAGCAGCCTTATCATTGTGCAGCGAATTCAAACACTTCTCACTGGATCTCGCAGCACTGTTGCATCTGTGCAGTAACAGTGTCACGAAATCAACTTTGGCTCCCGAGTAAAGCTGTTCTGAGCTCGGACAAGTTTGTTTGCGTTCCGTCCTGCGCAGCTGAAACAGTGCGGTTTAATTTCGCTTTAGTTTCGTTTGCCGTTTGATGTTTCTCACATGCAACAGAAATGGCAGCGCTTATGAGTTGGACAATGCGGTGGTCGCGCCAGTGCGACCGCTCACAAAAATTAGTCGCACGTCTGGAGCCCTGTATATACTAGGGCTGGGACGATACTCTAATCGTCCGATTCAATACTATCCAGATACTTGTGCTCTAGTGAATGTCATACACCGATCAGTCTGCGCATCGCTGCTTCAAGTTGAACACACCTATTGGGTTTTGGGTTTGACACTCTTGTCTACGAGCTTGCAATTTCTCTCTATATATCAATATTTTTTTTATAAGCAATTCGATATGAGGCAATACCCTTTATATCGATATACAGTAGTTTGATACGAGCGCATTTGAAAATATAGTGGAGGACACAGATTA